TCTCAGCTTCAGCCTACTGAGGTGTTCGTTGAGGAGACAGATTAGGCTGTTAGAAACCCCGTGACAATCCGAAGATTGTTTTTACTTAAATCAAGGAAAACCTGTGATTTTTCTCGGTCGTAAGTTCTGAGGAACTTTTTCGAGCGTCTTAGACCGTTGGAGGACACCCATTCCAAGTTACGGATGGAGTCTCCCAGATTCTTCAGTTCCGCTTTCAGTTGGTTCCCGTTTGGAAAACAGACCGTTTCTGGTCCAGTTGGAGTGTTCGCTCCTTTCCTAGTTAGATCATTTGCTTTTTCTTTGCCATCTATCATCCCTTGGTGAGCAGGCACCTAGAGCAGGAGGACTTTATTTTCTTTGCCTAATTTGTTGAGCTTCTCTAGGCATTCTTTGACCAACTTCGAATTGATGGTTACTGAGTTGATTGCGTTAAGTGCTGCTTGACTATCGGATAGGATGGCAATTTCCTACCGGCATGATGCTCACACCGATAACGAAAAAGCAGATGAAATGGCGAAACAAGGCCCAGGATCATAGGCTTAGAACTTTTTGGCGGCGCTGCAAAAGCAGCTTCAAGAATGATCAAAGCAGCTTCAAGAATGAACAAATTTCTAGAATTGTGGAGAAGTTCACCAGGGATAGACAGGCGAAAAAATTCGTAGTAGAACATTCGCCAAAATTTACGGCCGATATGCAAATACAGAAAGATTCTTAAAAATGTGGTGTGTCTATAAACAGGCAAGCTTAATCTAAATGCGCAGATTTTGTCAATTTGAAGAAGAACACGCTTTATGTCTATGTGTAGATCAGAAGAGATCAGAAGGTGATTAAAATAGGTCGTAGTGGAACAGAAGAAATAGATATTTTATATAATTAATATATTAATATTCCTCATGTCAAAAACCTCCCAAACACTAATTCTTATCCAAATATTGACGAAAAATCGAAATAAAAATAAAACTTCTACACCCTGTATCTCCGAAACTATAAGCATTTTAGGGCATACATTTATACGAACTTTTTTATTCATTTTTATCTGCAGAATATGTTGCCGAAGTTTCCGGAATACACTTCGGACCACCCTGTACACCTGAGCCTGGAGTACCAGGGCAAGATTGTTACAAAGATAACGAAAATAAATAATATAATAATAATCTAGATAGCAGATTAAATTTCGAGGGACAAAACCAAAAAAAAATAGTGGTTCTGAAAAATGTTTAAGCAAAAATATATATTTTTTAATGTTCGAAATAAAAAACTAAGCAATTTTTGACTTATTATAGAGATCTGTCAGTAAATACTTCGAAAATGTGTGCACTTATTTAGACTCACCCTGTTTAATTTATCTTATAAATATTGAGGATACTTGCCTTAGAGTGATCGTGATCTTTATCTTATATTCTTTATCCGGTAAAAGATCCAGGAGATCGAATTCTAAAGATGGAGTAGCGATGAGATCATTTGGAGGAGCAAAAACTTGCAGCTCCCAGCTGCTCACGTCGTCATTACTGAAAAAAATATTAATAGACTCACACAAAACTATCTTTAAAAGTAAAACTTACTCTTTGTGAGTGTAGCGCACTTCAACCCTTCCATGTAGGCCTACAATGACAGGAGGTACCATGAAGGCCAGTCTAATTGTGTGTGGATCCACTGCTTCCAAAGAATGGACAGTGATGTCGTCGTGGGGTTGGTTCAAACCGTAGTCATCTGGATAATGGTTGTTGAAGGTTTCTGTGTATAAATAATCAAAATTAAATGTTTATTTTCGAAAAAGAAAAACATCAACAATTATTGAGATGATTTTAAAAACATGTAAAAAATAATATCTAGATTTTTCAAAATAAGTTAGTCAGTACGTTCAGAAAGTTTAAGACAGATTACCATGGTAATCATGAGGTATTTAATCTAGTATTCATCTATAGTCTATCCAACGAGATGATCCATTATAGTGACAGTTTTATCTGTCATTTTAATTCAAAGGCAAATTGTATTTTCTCCCATTTTTGAATATGGTTTGTCGAAATATATCCTGATTCGCTGGACAGAATATACCTACTACTGATGTTGTCTTAACAAGTTTAAGTAATTGTTTTTGAAAAAGTAATTCATACCTGAGAGAAATATTAGGTTTTTTATCTTTATATCGAAGTGGGCCTTGATTTTGTGTTGGCCTATTTGCCTAACTATTTTTTATCACAATTTAATATTTTGTATTATTATTTATCTCCATAATTAAATACTTTTGAGTAGGTAAATTAACATTCTATATTAGATTTAGTAATTACAATTGAAATCTATACAATAACAAAGAACAAAACTAAAAAGTATTTTTTTAGTGACGAATATAGTTTTTTTTTCTAAAAAAAGTCATTGAAATCGTCAAGAGTTACAACGATTTATTAACGCGCGTCCAGTGTAAAAGTAAGTATAGAAAAAAAACTGACTACGCCACTGGATCGTGCATAAAAAAGTGTCTTAAGAACGTTTTTACAGAATTTTATTATTCCGCGAAATACCAAAGCTATGGGCAATTTTCCAAATGGTAAAAAATTCAAAAATACCCCATATCTCAGTTGGTAGTGAAAATATCAACAGGCGGTTTACGCCATTAAAGGTGTCTTAGAAATCGAGCCCATGACATCTATGTCGGTTTTGCTCTATATCTAGTCAGGAAATTAACAAACCAGTTAAAACACAGACCAATTTCGACCACCCTGTACGGTTGTATGTATCAAAATTATTAATTCACCAATCCAAGTATAGTTTACTAGTTTACCTTGAGGTCTAACTTTAGTAGTCTTGTTCGTATGTTTACTGCCACTGGTGTCCAAATCTGGTCCCGAATGAGGATGAGAATGTGTATACGAGGGAGGCAAAGAATTTTGTCTGTAAGGATTGATGTTTTTATGAAGTTCCTCCAATATTTCTTCAAGAGATATGTCAGTAGGAACGGCATGAGGGTGATTATGACTTATCGGAGTTGTTTGCAAAGGACTTATAACATCGTTCACATTTATAAATGGATTTTTTGGATGGTCCTGAGGTAAAGAATGAATCTCCACGACAGAACCGTGAGGAAGATTGGATATTTCTGGATGCTCTTGAAGAAAGTGTAACAAATCTGGATCATTTACCTCCATCTGGCGAGGAGGGACAGGAAGATTATTTTGGTTTGGTATAATTGGACCAATAGGTTGATGTGGACGAACAGGGACTTGGTTTTTGTTGACTGGTGGAAATTTGGGTTTCTCACGGAATTTGTAGAATGGATTTTCGTGTTGATCTATCACGTTAACCGAGGAATTTTCCTGGTTAGCATATACACTGAGAGGACCAAGAATTTTATTTGGAGTTTTGTCAGCAAATATGTTTTTGTTCGGCTTTGGTATATTATTATTTGTTCTTGTTTGGTTCTGTCGGGTTTTGTCAGTATCAGGTCGTCCAGTTGTGGCTAAAAGAAAATACATTTATATATTTTTTATTTAGATATACCGTGTGATTTAATAACATTGTCTCAGTAGTCCCAAAAATATCATTTTGGATTAAGCTGAGTAGTATTACTCACAGAAATTTCTCAAAATGAAATACATAATATTTGAACACCTACTATGACGTAGTTTTTATTCGATCACACGGTATATGTTTTTTTGTGTAATAAAAAAGTAAAAATTTGAATCCCAATGAACTAGTTACCATACGCATATGATCGAAAAAAAAATCGTCGTCAGAGTTGGCTTGGAAATGAAGCCTCATTTTATATCACGACAAACCAGCTTGACGCCGTTTTTTTTTTTCAAATATATAGTGTATAAAATATAAGTAGGTATCTATTACCTTGATTTTTGGGATCGGGACATACCCAATACATGCAGCAATCGTCATCAGGGATGTGTTGAAGGGATGCCTCCCTTGATGAACAAGCTAAGTTAGGTGGTGGCAAGGCTGTGACAGGAGGACATGTTGGTTGACATTCCACATTACCCATTTCGCAGTAACATCTAGTAAAATAAATAATGATTTAATCTAATATGGGAGATAATAGATTATCACATATGCAGCATAAGTAAAATATTAACGAAATAAATAAATAAATAAAATAAAATGTTGTCTAATAATAATGAATAATATAATAAAACAATTTATCACTCAAAATACAGACCAGAAGAAATAAAACAGACTTTAATAAATAAGGCAAGAAAATAAAATAAAACTAACAATTGTATAACGACAGACTAGAAAATAATAAAATATATTATTATAATTTTAATAAATAAATTATGTCGAATGATAATAAACAAAAAAAATAATAAAATAAATTCTCAAACAAAAAAATACTCAAAAAATAAAACTAACATAACGATAAAACAGAAATACGAGTATGCTAAGAAACTGATTATCTAAAAAAAGAAATGTTGTCTTATAAACTAAAAAAACTAAAAGAAATTCATAAAGAAATACTGGCCAGAAGAAATAGAATTCGCGTTAATAAATAAGACAAGAAAATAAAATAAAACTAACGTAATGAAAAATCAAAAGTATAATAAGAGATAGAGATATTTTTATAATTATTAATACATAAGATTAGAAAAAAATATTTTTCTAAGAAAATGAATAAAAAATAAAATAATTTCTCACTCAAAAAAGCGAAAAGAAATAAAATAGGTTTTAATATATAAAACAAGAAAGTAAAATTAAACTGACGTAATAAAAAACCCGAAAAATAATAGAATATTTTTAAAATTAATAAAATAGGGGAACAGAAAAATAATAAGAGATTTTATTATAATTAATAAATAAGATTAGAAAAAGTGATTAGGAAATTGATAATGAACAAAAAATATTTTCACTAAAATAAATGGTCAAAAGAAATGAAATAGGCTTTAATAAATAAGACAAGAAAATAAAATTAAACTAACGTAGAACAAAACTGACAATATAACGAAAGAGCAGAAAATAATAACAGATAGACATTTTTATAATGAATAAATAAGATTAAAGAAAATGAAATTATGTCTATTGACAAAGAACAAAAAATAAATAAAATAAATTCTCACTCAAAAGAAATAACATAGGTTTTAATAAAAAAGAAAATAAAATACAATAAAACTATCGTATAAAAAAACAGAAAAGTAACAGGATATTATTTTATAAAATAGAGAATTGGGAACCAGAAAAATAATAAAAAATAGATATTTTTATAATCAAATTAAAAAATAAAATTATGTCTAATTACTGATAATGAACAATAAAAATTCACTCAAAAAAAGACCAAAAGAAATGAAATAGGCTTTAGAAGAAAATAAAATTAAACTAACGTAACAAAAAACAAGAAAATTAATTTTAAAATTAATAAAATAGGGGAAGATCGCTTCACCCGAACCAGGCAGCGAGAAAGTAAGCTGCCAGTCCAATGGGACGACCTGTTCCCCTTCAAAAATTCGGGCTAGGTTAGCTAGCATGTAAGCCAAGCATTACCAGGGCTCTTATATTTTCCTTACTCATAAGTTTAAGGCACGAATTCCGAATTCTTCAAATTTATCATAACTTTAAGCATTTCGGTATAAATATTGATAGTTGTAGATCATACTGACATCTCTCGGTATAGTTGGATAAGTAGATGACGTTTGGCGGGAAAGAAAAATGTAATACACCGTTTGTCGCGACATCTCTTGAAAGGTTCAGTAGTTAAAAAAGAATATGCTGCCCTCTGTTATCGCTAGTCGAAAGTAGGTTAGTTTAAACGCCTGTAGTTGTAGGAAGATGTATTCTGAAATTGGGCGGGGCTTAAAAATACATCAAAGAGTACCAGGGCGCTTCAAAAATTAATTTTACTTTTTGTGATTGAAAATTATAGTAAATTATGAAATACGTATTTTTAATAAAAAAATAAGAAAATTTATTATTTTATTAAAACATTAATTAGCTAGAGTAAAGATAATAAGAAATATACAGGGCAATAAGATATTAGAAAAATTAAAAGAATACAAAAAATAACTATGTACCTACCGTTTTTCACATCCTGTGACATTTAGAGGCAATTGTTCCCAGTTCTTGTATAATTTGTCTTCGTGTAAGCAGGATCCGTTGTTTTTACACCTGATTTGCTCTGGACAGCAATTTGGAGCAGATGGTTGGAAATTTGGTGGTACTGTCTCCCATTCAATACATCCAGGATCTACAAATATTTTAATATTTAATAAAACACTGTTGCTAAACTAAAAAAGACTAGTTATGGTTTAAGTTACGACGGTCTATACAGGGTAAGTCTTAAATAAGTGCAAATATTTTTTGGGGTAGCATAATTCTACCTCAGGAACACGTCTATAAGATCGCAAATAAAAATTGAAATTCTGGAATTTTTTGAAAAATGTTTAAAATTTTTTTTTAATTTTTAGTTAAAAAAAAATTAAAAAAACATAGGTAGTAGATTAAATTTACAAGAAAGAAAATCCAGAAAAGATCCAGTGGTTCTCAAAATTTAAGCCATCATTTTGTTTTAATTTTCAAAGTAAAGTAACTTTATTATATAATATAAGTTAGTTTGGACATATGTTAAAAACGGTAAAGAGAAAATATGTTTCTTTTATCGAGATATACTAGCCCTAAGAAAATATTTGCACTTACCTACGACTCACCCTGTATAATTTAGCCATGGCAACAAAAAAATTGAAAATTTATCATAAAACCCTTCATTCTCCTTAGTAAAATATGCAAATTTTGTCAATAATAATTATATTGTTAGTACGGTCTTTTTAATTTAATAAAAAATGCTAATTTCTTGAGGAATTTGTCATATTCTAATAAAGATTTTATTGCTGCTGTCTTTTGTTTTGTCTTTTTATTACTAAGTAAATCATTAAAACACGTATTACATCCATTAAAATGTAAAAGCTTTTAAGATAATGCATATAAAGATGCAAATTAACTTGATGCAATTACTATAGATATTCAATGGTTTTCTGAATATATAGCACCAATCTTTTGATAAAATCTAATTATATGACCTATTTTAATGCATTAATAAAAATATTTTTATTATTTTGTGTCTATTTTAATTAAAATAAGTATCAGAATAAAGCTTTAAGATTGATTCTCACTATACCTTCCGTTTCCATTCCATATCCATTCCATATCCGTTCCGTATTTTTTATTGTATTGATGCTATACGTAGCTTCCGTTCCGTATCAGTTCCATACTCTTTATTGTACAGGATGGGTCAAATTCGACGCTTTTAAATGGAAACACCCTTTTCTATAGGAGATAGACCAAAACTAATATCGGTGTCTGGAGCTCAATTTTTGTCAAAAACATGATGGTGAAAACCGCATATCGATATCTGCTATCGTTTCGGAGTTACGGGATGTTATTCAAAAATATGCATTTTTAATAAATCGCTGTAACTT